CACCCGCGACACTCAATCTCCTCACAACTACTAATTTCCTTCTTCAAAGAAGCAGAGAGCATCATGCTTGTAATACAGACAATTATTGCATTTGACACAAAGACTGTCAGAAATGCACAGACTTCAGAGAAGCTGAATATCAGAGCACACACAGTTGCAGCAGAACCTTGAAGACTGATCATCTACATGTATAATCAGATATCTCTTATAAAGCTGTGTCTGCTCTCTCAGTTGTGCTGAAGTATTCAGTCTGAAAACAATGAGAATGTGAAGAGAGAGCTCATCTGTCCAGGTCAACTCTCATCATAAATTCATGACATTTGCATTGCCTTGACTACTCAGATTTTACAGGTATCTGAGAACCCATCTCCCATTGACAATGAGATTGTGGAAATGTGCTGTGATGTGAGAATCATTGATAGAGAACCTAGGCATATTTACATATACCTGGTCAGAGATTGTGCAGGCAGGAAGAGAGTGATCATAGGCTCACAGAGCCACAGAAGACACTGACAACACTGAGAGCTTTGCAAGAACTGTCAGCTAGAATCTGCAAGAAATTACTTATGAGAAGACTTACAGCAAAGAGAGAAACTGCACTGCTTAAAGTCAGAGACTGGCCTGAGGAAGAAATAAGATGAGCCACTGGCCTGAAGATCAGATGCAGTGACAGAGCTGAGAGAAGTGAAGACACAGTTGTGAGCAGCAGTGTCTCTACTTCATCAGTCAGTAAAAAGTGACTGAAGGAGTTGCAGAGACACTCACAAGAAGCTCAGCAGTGATCAGACATTGTTTATAAAGATATTGAAATTGAAAAAATTTTTATTCTTGAGAAGTTCTTGAATCAACATGTGAACATTGTCAGAAACACTCTCTCTCTGTCATCTGAGTGAAAACACTTCACAGATGAATAAGAATACTCACAGTTTGTGAGAATGAAAGCTGTTACAGAAAAAGAAAAAAGAAGATGAGATTCTGCAGACAGATCTGGAATATTTATACTACTCTAGAGAGGTTTACTTACACTGTGAGTGATTCTGCAGAACAGTCAGATCACTCTAGTAAATAAGAGTGATTGTGAATTACAGATCTGAATCTTTCTATATGACTACAAAGAGTGATTGCAGACTGTGAATATCTTGATTCTACAATTCTACAGAGTTGATGAAAGAATGGAAAATTCCTCACAATTCTACAGTATCAAAGAGCAATGATTTGCAAGAATGAATGAAAGATTAACTTATGAATGTTTCTCTTTGATAAGAGTGATCTCACAGAGAGTAATTCATCTGTGAGATGAATCTGTGTAATAATCACACAAGAATCTCATGAAAATGATTGAGAGTCAATCAGAACTCTTCTGTATGAAAGATGTGAGATGAATCTGTATGATAGTCAGAGAAGAATCTGTAGATTATAAAGAATCTCACAGAACAAGAAACTGAGTGACAGACTCTTTTCTCTTTGTGATAACAAGGAATTTTTCCTCACTGAGGTTTTTTACAGATGTGAAGAATTTTTAGTGAGTATCACTGCAGTGCTGAGCTGACTATGAAGTCACTCAGTGAAAGACTTCGCGGACAAAGTCTTAGAGAGAGGGGGGTATGTAAGAAATCTCACTTCTTACAAATTCTTTACCTCTATTTCTATCTCTCACATAATCAATAGGGCTAGCGGCCCTTGGCTACACACAACTATATAGACTGGAGTTCATGAATACTATTTACAACTCAGCTTGAATGCTATTATACACTTAACCTCTACATTTATCTTCCTACTGTGAACACTTCTAGTAGTTAACAGTATATATCATGCCAAGCTGCAAACACCTGAATAATCGCCTGCGAGCACTTATTCTTACATATTATTAATATGAATAATCTTTATAGTACAGTTGAATTGATATTTAATTCAACTGATAGCTTATCTAAGAGCTTTTCAGATTTCTGATTTTCAGATAGCTGTTATAGCTATATGAAAATGAAGATAATCACATATGAAATGAATGAGATAATACTCATTATTATAGCACTGAGTAGAGCCATGTATAATATCTGTGTATAGATGTTTGAATGGTTTTTGAGATCTAACATAAGAATATCTAGATATTTAATTTTTTGCATTAGATAGATGACAGAGTTTGTAAAGCTCAGTGATAAGCTTATTCACAGCATCTTCTAGATTGATGATTTGAACATCAGTTGCATTATTTATAAGCTTTTAAATAATGATTTTCAATGAATATTCTAATCTCTTATATCATGTAGACTGAGTAGCTATAGAGATCTTAGATTTTTAAGAAGATTTTATGTGTATTAACAGGTTGAAAGAATGATTTGTTGAAGTGTGTAATAACAGATTAGAAGAAGAATTTATAGAAGTTGAAGAATTTGAAGATATCATTTTTTCAGATATAGTAATATTAGAAGTGTGTGATATAATAGCTGCTGTGACTTTGATAGTTGATTTTTCTGATATAGTTGAATAAACAGCTGTTTCACTATTATATTCTGTAACTAGTAATCTCTCAAATACTTCAATGCATGTAAAGATTGTATTATCTGTGTGTTTTTACAATCTGAAGTCTTTTTCATTATAATAGATGTCTTCTATATGAAAACACAGTTTTCATGTGATGATATTTGTATGGAAATTCAGTATATAAGCTATATTAATGAGATTGATATTGAACTGCTTTCCTGCTTCATTTATTATAATAGTTCTAACAGTTTCATAATCTTCAACTTTAGTGCTGAAATTGTCTGTATAGACTTCTGCATTCTTATTCACAGATGTAAAGAATAGAAAATATGTTTGATTATTGTATATATACTGTTTCACATCAGTATCAAAGATTCAGGAGTTTCAGAGATAGAAGTGTGAATTTAAAGAGTTTATCAATATTTTTCAGATCTGCTGATTGATAGATTAATGATTGATAGATTGATAATTGATAGATTGAGAAACTGATTACTTCAGAATCATTTCTTCTAGAACTGCTTCATTGACATCTATTATATCTATATTTATAAATAATTCTCTAGATATTGCACAATCAATATATCTCTTCAATTCTTGATTTTTAAGAGCTTGATCAATCTGAGTTCTTTTCTTCTCATTTTCCTTTTATTCATATGACTTTCTTAATGAATTAAGATAGTAGCACTGAGTATATCAGTGACAGACTCTGCAGATACAGTTTCTAAATATTACTGATAATAACTACTGAGATCTTTTATTAAGAGTAGTGAAGTTCATAGATTTATCTTCTTTGAGAATACTCATTTCTCTATACTGTTTCTTGAAGTTCTTAACTAACTCTATCAAAGATATAACATCTTTATCATGTCAGATATTCTTAGCTTATGTTTATATATAATCTGCATCAATAGCTAGATTCACATTTAAGAAGTCTTTTTTCAAGTTAAACTGTTCAGCTATATCTGTCTCTTTGATATCATCTTCAATGAGTGATTAGTTATTTAATTACTTCTCTATATCTCTGTTTTTCAGTGCTTTGCAGAGATCATGATATCAGATTCTCACATCATCTTAATAGTCTGCAGTTGTGAGAGAGAGATAATCTCTTAATAAATAGATAATTTTCTTCATATCATTATTCTTGCTATATACATGTTATAGCTCTGTGACATTCACTGTTCTTCATATAATATCTCATATCTTTGTCATATCTTCATTCAATTTCTTATATTTCATATATTTGATTTTTCATGCAGTGATCTTGATATTATATACTATCTTAGCCTCTGCAGTGACTTCTTCTGAATACTCAGATTTCAGAGATTCTTCTAGTTCAGAGAAGATATCAGGTTTATCAAGATTGATAAAGTCTGATATCTTCTTGTTCTTTGCATATTCTAGCATATGCTTGTATCAAAGTTTTCAATCTTCAGAAATACTAAGATGAACCGTCATACTAGACATTGTCTTGTCTGTCATATCAGTTATATTGAATGAATTGAGGAATCAGTTCAAGTATTTGTGAATATGATCAGAAATCAGAGTGTATAACAGTCAAGAATTTCAGAACATATATGTGTAAGAATCAATTATCTCAGTTCAATGAGAATCAGGTATAATATAACAGTCAAGAATTTTGAACTGTACACAGATGAGAATCAATCATCTCAGTTTGAATGATTATTGTCAAATTTGAATGAGAATTGAGATCAGTGTATCATGCTTCTCTTCAGATGCTGCTTACCGGGCTCATAACTGTTGAAATGAGTGTCACAGATAAATATGTTGAAGACATATGAATCTTATATGTATCAAGATCTACTTGTTATATTATCTGTGTACTATCTAATATATCTATTTCATACAAAAGATAGAGCTATTTATAGTAAAATATATGTGCGAGTCAAGAGAGCTAGTATAAGCAAGTATTAGATGAGTGTTGTAGTAAGCTGATGATGATGAGAAATATTGTAGTAATACAATGTTGATAGCGTTCAGTAGTGTATAACCTCTTTTTCCTGACAAAGTGTAAGAAAGCTCAGTGTTTCTTAGCACAATGAGACCAAACCTCATTAACTGATGAGAATGATCTTTCATAGTCTGTGTAGTTGTAGTGGTTTGGCTTCAAAGACTTTCTTCTTTCCAAGCTCAGAATCACTTCCTCTAGATGCCTAACTGTGGCTTCAGATTTTTCTATAGATGCTTTCATCCTGTCACCACTGCTGTATCACTGTGCTAAATATTGAAATTCAAAGTCCTTCCTTTAGTGTTTTTAGTTGCAATTGTGATGCAGAGTGCACACAGCTCTTGAATGAACTCAGTGTGGCTAACGAGTTTCAGCCCACAGGTCTCACCCACCTGATATTGATACTTACACTGGGCAGAGAACTTCCCCCATGTCCAGTCACTGTATTTTTGACCATAGAAGCACATAGCCACCGAAACTAAATGTTTGGATGTCAAGACCCTACTCACTTAATGTTAACATCTTCACACTGTGCTAGTGAAGCAAGATACATACAACAATATTGAGTTCACAGAGCGAGTTGAACCCACTTCATGCGGTTCTATGGATGGTATTCAAGCGTAGTTATATTTTTCTGACCCGCCGTCGTACCTGCGTTGATGGCTTACCAAGAATAGCAAAACTGAACAACAGAAAAATACTCTTTCTATATAAGAAGGCTGAGAGATGGGATAATGTTGCTTAGAGATTGCATCTTTCAGAATGATGTAGTTTCTAACCTCCCACGCAAGTTTCTAATTGGGTGCCAAGGCCAGGTTGTCCAGGCATACGGCACAGTTAGCATGCAGTGGAACGGAGTCCTGCAGCGTAGCAGCATCAAACACTCGGAGTGACCAAACATTGCCGTGATGCTGACCCCAGCCAGTCACTTACTCATGAGTTTCGTGCCTATGGACCCGTTGGGTTGTGGTGGAAGTTACTGAGACAAGAGTGATGAACGCGAGTCAAACCAAGGCGGCCATTGGCTCAAAGAGAGGGGAGAGAGTCAGGAAACCACACGATCACGAACAAATCTCCGCCTACCCCAGAATTCCAACATTCTTGCAGTAATGTGCTTCAGATTACGGGAACATCAGAACAGAGCACCATCACAAGGTATTCTAGGTCTGGCCGCCCAGTAGTCTTCCTCTCCCTGAAGCTGAGGCAAAGTCACCATATCAATCCCCTGAATGTTCTCCACATCTGAATTCCCATCCACGTCAAACACCTTATACTTGTCAGATTTAATATTCCAGTTGAACCATGCACCATGGAGGAGCTGCAGTTTCATGAAGAATATAATGAGGCAGATTCTTACACGGTCAAAATCGGATTGGTCAGTTGAGATGGTCTGTAATCCTGGTTTGTATCTGAAGTCGCAGTTCGTAGAGCGGCAAAGCACGCATGGAGGGTTGGCATGATTTGCCAGAGTATAGAACCGTCCACAGACACTCGGCGCAGAACACATGCCCGCAAGGTCCAAACTGCAAGTGGAGAGACCAGGCACAACGACAGATAATGTAGATGCCTTCCTCTGGATCAGTTGTTGTCAACTCTGGTATCACCAGCTCACGGTAGTCCGGATCCTCAGCATGCGTTTTCTCAAGGGTGGCAACAAGCTGAGGGTCGACATTACTGAGATCCCCATACATCTCAACTAGTTGGGTCCGATGGGCCATCTTTTTACTTTTGTAGCAGAACTGGCTTGGAATCGAGAGTAAGAGGATTCAACAGATGGTACAAGAGAGGTATCAGGAGGCCACAGCTAAGCTAGCTCAGAAGAAGAGAGTTGAAAAGGGAAAAAGCCAGGGAGAAAAGAAAGAAATGTTGGTACTTGTGTTATTCCTACAAGGAATCAAGCCCTAACCCCGTGCCCTGACTTGTGAGGGTCACTAGGGTAAATACACAATGTCTTGACGCGATGCATGGACTTTGCAACTCTCCACTCAGCGACCCAGTAAATGATGAACACTCCATGAGAGCCCTAAAGAACATATTCCCAAATCTCCTACAAGCCTTTCAAAAGCCCTGCACCGTCAACAAGTCCGCAAGAGTATGATTTCATTAAGCCAATTGTATCAACTTTAGCATCCCTCCAGTTCATCCCAGGTGATGGGTCTCCTGTCTGTGAGTGTTCTTGGGAAGAACAGCAAAATGAACATGAGCAAGACTTGAAGTCAGCACTGCTTGGAGTGTCTACCTGTCGCGGACTTCCGTTTGATAAGGTGTGAGGTTTCAAGGGTGTAGGATGCACGATGCAATCACGATGGTTCCTTCGATGGTGCGAGTGCTGCGTTCTTGGGTAAGTTAACTAACTAAGGATAGTTCACCAATGTCCCGTGTGAGGGGTTACCGTCATCGTAAAGTAGAAAGGAGTTCTGTTCCAAACGCAGAATAAAATCCTTCGTCTGCTTCTTTTAGATGGAAAACAGAAGCTTGTTGAGACGAGTACGAGTTAACTCGCTATATAGACAGCCAATGCTTGCGGGGTTATCGTTTTACGAGACTAATTCAACAAAGAATAGGGATAGGAAAGTTAGAAAAATGCGTCGGTTAGTTTCAACTAATACACAGCTACTGTCAAAGTTTGCCTTCCAAGGAAATTCCTCGGTTCTTTTCTTTTTTTCCCCATGTTTTTGACTTATGTTTCCGTCCCAATGACGTCTCGTTTCTCTCTGCCGGATCAACTTCACATAAAACAAGAGCAATGACACCCCCATACAAATCGAGGATTTGGCACGTACCCTGTCATGATCCCTGCAGTCTTCACTTGGATGCCGGCACTCTTTCGCCGTTCGGGATAAGGCATACTGTGTACTGCATCTCAGACAAAAAAAAAATTCAGGAGAAGCAGTTCGTGGGCCGAAAATGACGACATGGTGGATCGGGGGAGGGTTCATTTCGGTCCCCACTAAAATAAATACTGATTATCGTGGCAAGGAATGATTTAGCGCTCGTACGAAGCATTGATATTGATTGTTCATGAATGATGGATTTCCTATCTAAGTTTCCTTGTATGATTCAATTTCTCCTGCTCTACTCCTCTCTTTCTGTTAGTACATGTATTTCTTCGACAGTCCTGGCCCTCATCCAGCTATCTCTTCGCCGGGAAACTCATATACGGTTGTGTTTCTTCCAATAGTTGCATATTAATCCCTGCTACATAGCTAATTGTATGTGTGTGGTGTGAGGAGACCTCAGGTACCGTTTTTAACAAGCATGGGAAAATTCATTAAAATGCGGTATATAGCCCTAAAATGTCGAAATACGGTCTACAATATGATTGCATTTATCCACCGTCATGATAGGATTCCAGCCGCTCAGCTGCAAAGGCCCTCTCTCTCCCCAAAACAACATAAATAAAGCCTCGTGGGTCTGGAACTTTGGAAGCCTAGGCCCACCACCCAAAGCGGGGCATTTCTTGCGCAACGAAGAATGAATAGTTCTTTTCGGATTAGATATGAATTGAATATCATATTGAACTAGTGGTTAGCATGGTCGTTCAATTTCGATTCTACTCCCATTCAACCACGTGTGGCACAGCGGTACTACCGGTTGTACTCGGGCCGGGACTCGGTGAAGTGAGGCTGATAGAGCCTTCCGGTGGTGGGAAAGGGCCCCTTGAGCTAATTTGCACTGTATTCATTCTGGCATCGAACATGAGGCGGGGTGGTTGCTCTGGCGCAATATTCCGTGACCTCAGGAATGCTTCGCGCGCAGCGTACTTCCCCGGCCTGAAGGGTGAATTCGGGGGGGAATTTGAGTACAAACATTAGTCTGATGCAGTGGTGTTTGGGACTATTGGCAATCGCCTCATGACTATCACAGATTGCAGCCCGTGCCTTGTCTACGTGTTCTTCATCGGGTCGCTTTGCTAACCCGCTGAGGACGTGGAGGTAGGGGACGGCTGGGGAGGACATGGATTCGATGAGGCAGAGGAATCCTTTGGTGAGGTGAGCTGTGAGGTTCTGAGCTTGGTATCACATTCCAGCATGCGTTCTGCGTAGCCATAAGCTCTGCTTCGCTTTGCACCTGTCAGATAATACTCCATCAAATGACTTTCTGGCAAAGAAACCATGCGTGGTCCGGATGGTCATGTAGCGGAATGGGACTTTTGGGTTAATGTGTGAGGTGTTTGCTGCTTATCATTGCTTCCAACACCTAATGATAATAAAGCAAAAGGAGCGAGCTCTGCTTGTAGCCATGTCATGGTTCATCGGCTCCTTGGTCCTATCAATCCATATTTGAAAGTCATTTACAGACAAAGGAGTGAACAGCAAATTGAGGCATCCCTTACTTCGGAGTCCGACTGAAAAGTAACCCGAACACATCGAGGGCTGTTCGAGAAAATCCAAGTAGTCTTACCTGATTCAGCAGGTTCGCGATCCATTTGGGCGAGTGGACATATCCTACTTATATTGTATTTGAACGTGAGAAGCGGGTTGGCTAAGGATAGAAGGGCGTGTAGCGGATGGTATCCTGCATTAGCATTATGGAGACAACCGTCTACTTGTGGAGGGTTGCTTTTGCTAGTTTTTTTCATTGGATTTTATTCTATCTATTCAATGTTGAGCAAGTCAGTTAATGCAGACTTCAGTAGGGTTTACGTGGTGATGTCGAGGTGTAACGGTCATCCAAGGAGGAATAGTGTATGGACAACAGAGTGCTACAACAACGCAAATCCACACCTCTACATATTATACAGCTAATATCCTCGCTGCAAATGCAGTTAGTGGGCTCCCGTTCTCTGTGGCAAAAATAATATCCTCACAGAGAAACACACAAACTAAGTAGGCTAATACCAAGTTTACTTGTCTCCCTCAAGTAGTAACGTTGGAGGCCCATAGAATCCAATCACAACTTCGACCCCCCAACCTTTACCAACGCCCCATCTTTAACCTCATACTCCCTACCCCTAGCCCACCCACACCAATCCGCCAATGTCTCCTCTCCACCCATACTCGGGCTCAACCCATCACTCGACCAACCACCCTCCTCACTTCCAAACGTTAGACCCGGCGTCTCTGACAACCCCACCGCCAAACGCTGTTCATATCCACCTTCTTCCATCTCCTCATGCTCGAGCACGGGCGTAGCACACGCATCTGTTCCATCAAAGATATCCTCCCACTCCTTTCGCGTCTTCTCCTTGAATCTGCGCGTAAACACTTCGCGCATATACGCCCACGTGCTCGGATCCTCGCGCATTCCACTCGAGTCCGGCGGCATAATATCCGCCATCTTCAACCCCAACCCTTTCAACAGCGCCGCAAAAAACTGCGGCTCCAGCGCGCCGACGGCAAAGTACTTGCCTGCATCCTTCGTCTCGTAGGTGTCATAGTAAGGGCATCCGCCATCAAGTACATTGTGGCCGCGCGGGGCACCCCACACAAGCCTCTTCTGCAATAGCCTTGGGAATGTAGCTAGATAGGCTGAGCCATCTACCATATTGGCCTCGACCACTTGGCCCTTCCCCGTGCGTTCGCGCGCGAGCAGCGCAAGCAAAATGCCAAGAAAACACATGGCGCCGCCGCCGGCAAAGTCACCGACAATATTACCTGGTGCGTAGGGCCGTTCACCGGCACGTCCCAGTAGGCCGAGCACGCCGGAGACGGCGATGTAGTTGATATCATGGCCGGCCATGTCCTTGTACTTGCCATCGCGGCGGAAACCGGTCATGCGGGCGACGATGAGGCGTGGGTTCTTTTTGAGGAGGACATTTGTGGGCGATAGGCCGAGTCTCTCGAGGACGCCGGGTCGGAACGGGTCGATTAGGATGTCGGCGTTGGAGATCAGAGAGAGAAGAACGGCGAGCGACGCGGGGGATTTGAGATCGAGGCTTATCGAGGTTTTGTGTCGGGTTAGAGAGTCGGAAGTCTCGGGGGGAAAGACATCTGGAGAGCTGGAGTGTGCTTGTGGATGTGGGCGGTCGACGCGTAGGACGGAGGCGCCGTAGTCAGCTAGCAGGAGGCCGGCAAAAGGAGCTGGTCGGATGTTAGAGTTGACATTTTCAAGGGTCTCGACAGGGACACGGGTCAATTGCCCAAATTTGGGCTCTGCTGAATTTGAGTCGCAAGTGTGGCTTGCTTACCTGGAGCTAGGCCGGCCAACTCAAGGACTCGGATGCCCTTGAGCGGGGGGGATGCTTTGGATGACATTTTGTTCGGCTTGAGCTATATCAAACACGGCAATCTTCGAGGAGGGATTAACAAAAGGATGGGAGCAGTAGATATTCAGTCATCCCGAGAGGCAATTGGTGGAGGGATAAGAATTGCAATTGTTCAGGTTAAATATACATCAACATCCTTGGTCTTTCGTGGCCCGATCGAGGAAGAGCTTTATCCCAAGGCTCCATGAAAGTAACCGAGGTGAGCCCGGCCAAGACGAGGTGAGGAGAGGGATATCACATGACCCCGTAATCCAGCCGTGCATATTTTGGATGGGGAAGTAAGGAAAAGGAAGATGGTCAAAATAAGCAGTTATCCATATTCCCCCTAAGTATCCGACACAACCAGCTATCCATTGAATTGATCGGGATAGAAAATGCTGTGTTCGAGTTTCCGAGAATAAGATTCAAGTTTCCGGCAAGTTAGAAGCTGTTCGGCTCACCGATGCTTACTAACAGCAAATAGCCGACGACGGCAACTACTCTTGTCAACGTCTTTTTAGAGTATTGTCGATCGAGTCTTGGCACCATCTATAAATAAAAGCTCTAGGCCAAACACGGTTACCCTTGGAATCAGCCGCATCAACGTCAACCTTCCTCTGTCTCGTTGATCTAACATGAACGAGCACAGAAATCATCCAGTTTTGATACGAGGCCTTCTGGCAGGGAATGACTCCCAGATGTATATTGACATTCAAAGGAGCGGGGCTAGTCTATGGCACACGTTCAGCCATAACGACTCCAACGCTCATACACTATGGATGTACGATGATGCCATTTATCAACCAACTCAGCAGTGTCCAGTAGCTGCTGTGCACTGATTTTCCTGTTTTCCTGTTTTAGTGACCTTTGCTATGGCTCCACTTATTGCTCCTTGCCGTGTCGTGGAGCGACCAGTGGAGTCACCTCGTCCAAGGATTTGAAAGTCCAGCAAAAACAAGCAACTCAACACAGCCCTCTAAGTGTCGATCGTGATGTCGATCCATCCAGCTAAGCTGGCTTGTGTGGGTGTTTCTAATATTTCCATGCCCGTGTACATGTAAAAAAAAACCCTGTTCTAGGGGGCAAGAATATCAGCTCTTCATCGTCATAAGAAACTTAGAAGAGTAAATCAAATTCCCAGCGCGCCCCGGAAACATATCATGACTTCATTTACTTCCGCGTATTGTGTAAATTGAACAGTAGCTTGCCGTTCATTTTTCACTTTCTTTCCCTTTTCAATTTCCTACAGGCCAGTGGGCACAAATGGTTCTGCTTCTCCATTTTCTCGTGGCAGGCGTCTCGCTATGCGCAGGGCTTGCAGGGGCCGCTGCTCCCCCCGAGATGAACAAGTACCCTCGATCCAATAATGCCAATATTTACGCTCACGATCCAAATATTATCAAAGACGGTGAATATTACCATCTCTTCAAGGGCGGCGTACATATCTCATAGTAGCGCGCGAAGAGCCTGAACGGCAAATGGGAAGACATGGGCCATCTGCTGGAAGGTGACAGCATCATCCCCAACAAGAAAAATGCAACCAGGCCATGGGCCCCTAGCGTGATTAAAAGGGGCGACACACTTTACTGCTACTACACACTCAGCGGCAGAGGGAAACGGGACAGCGCTATTGGTGTTGCAACCACCAAGAAGTTGGCAAGGGGCGCTTACTGGAAAGACCATGGCGCTCTTATCCAGACGGAAACAGGAGAAGGGTTCGACGTGTTTCCATTCACTACCTCCAACGCCATTGATGCGAGCGTGTCCATTGACGGCGGCAAAGCCTATTTGAACTATGGCAGTTTCTTCTCGGGTATCTGGCAGGTTCCGCTGGGTAAGGACCTTAAGTGTTTACCGAATTCTAGGAAACTAAATGCCGTGCAGCTTGCGCGTAAACGCCAGAAGCGCAATGATATTGAAGGCTCCTTCATGAGTTTCCATGGTGGTTGGTATTATCTCTGGTTCAGCCGTGGGATGTGCGGTCGATTTAAAGACGATTTCACTCTGTAAAGGGTAAAGAGGTGTATGAAGAATCCGTCTCTCAGCACTACTCACTTTTAGAGAGGCAAAAACAGTCCCAGCTGAAAATAAACTGAAAGCTAGATATTCCATCCGTGTCGCGCGATCCCAAAAGCGCCCGTGGGCGTTCATTGATAGAACTGGCAAAAAACGACCCAGGGAGGCGGCCACAAGGTTTATGCCTCCAATTATGACAACACCGTCTTTGCACCAGGTGGTCTAGGCGTACTGACGGGAATGAATGGAACTCCTGATATCTTGTACTATCACTACTGTGAGTTTAGTTCCCATGACTGGAATGAAAAAAGAAAGAACAGAAACTCGATGTCGCTAACCATATTTATCTCCCATCCTTCATAGTCAACGCGAAGGTCAGCTTGAAGCATGAGAAGGCCCGAGTGGGTTACAACACGCTCAAATACGTCAATGGATGGCCTGTGGTTCAAGCGCCGAAGAAATAGGTTAGTTGGGGTTTATCTTCATTCTATCGAACTGCGAATTACAGTATCTAACAGAGTTTGTTCTCTGCTCTGGATGATCCTCTTGCTCTTCTTGTGGACTTTGTGAGGTGATGGAATGGATAATACCTCCGATGATAGCAAGGATGGGGATAACTTGGTTGGAACAGGCATTTATTTTCTTTTGAGTACCATGGGCTTGGTTTTCATGTACGTATTCTCATGGGCTTCCATGTAACTGTAAAGCACTGAGATTATATATTTGTCTCGAGTCGATATCTTTTTATTGTGACTGCAGATTCCGGTTTGATTCGCGTTTCAGGCACCTAGGTACTCTATCCCATGCATGGGATATACCCGGGCCCGCATCATATCCAATCTCTGATATACAACCCTAAAACAAGAAGAAAGAGAACGGGTTCATGCTGGTATTCCGCTCGAACTATCTACCTATCCTGTCTAGATCACCACAAACACCTGAACAATGCTATAAATATAAGGCAGTCAAACTTAGCAAAATCTACCCGGAAACAAAGCTGAAAACACCGTGCCGTCCATCGTCAAAAACGAGTAATCCCATACACACCCCCGATGCAAAATATATAGAATAGAATACGGCTACTAAAGGGCCGCAAGAGGAGAGACAATCAATCACATGACTCAAAATGAACAAATACCCTCCCGGGTCACTAAGTCGACAATCCAACATCTTAAACATCCCGACCTTTTCCGCCCCTCCTCTCCACGTATTTATACTTATAGCCCTGGGGTGGTTTATTCTCTTTCCCGTGCCCGCTCAACATACCATCACCAGCATCTGCCCGTCCCCCGACCTCCTCTTTCCCCCACGTCCACATCAAAATCTTCCCCATCCGTTCCCGGTCTTTCAACAACCCCTCCACACGCCCCTCCCACACCTCCTCCCTCTTCTTCAATACGCCCGCAAATTTCTTATCAATAGCTTTCGCAGCCGATTCCTTCGCCTCAATAATCGATTCCAACCGTTCCCGCTCCGCGTGTAGTCCTGCAACACGCTGTTCAAGTGAAACAAGGGATGTGCGCAGAGCGCTGAGATCCGAGTTGAGCTTCGTTTCACGCGACTGAGAGGCGGAGATGACGTTCTGGAGGGTGCGGATTGTTTCTGTATGTGAGTCGCGGAGAGTGGAGAGAGCGGTGGCGTGGGCGGAGTGAACGCTGTTCAACTCCGCTTCGTGGGATCTTAAGAGGGCATCGTGGTCGACTGGGCACTTTGATGTGCCAAGGCCGGATGGTTGAAGAGCGGGGGATACTGGGGGACTAAGCTGTTGTGACTGGGTCATGTCCTGCTGGTTGCGAAGGTTTTCAATGGTATAGAGTGCCTTATCGCGTTCCTGGGTGGTTTTGTAGAGGGTATCTTGCAATTTGGTCTGTTCGGATATGATAGATTCGATCTTGGAAGAGAGGCGCGATATCTCGCCTTGTAGAACTGTAGTGAGTGCTCTTGATTCGGAGAGTTCCTGGCGTGTGCCTTCGAGTTGAAGTGTTTGCATGCGGTCTGAAGGTAAAGAATTCCGCAGCTGTAATCGAACTTCGCTGAGCTCTCTTTCCAAGGCTCGAATCCGCTCAGAGCTTTTTGTCGCCTCGCTCATAGACGACGCTCTCCTTGCATGGTACGCCCCCTTAATCGCATCCAAAATTTGATTGAAAGTCATATTTACCGTGATATCAATAGACACCTCGCTTGCGAAGGATTTCACTGCATTATATTGTGCATCGATTGCCGAATTTGCATTGTCCAATTCGATCTGGAGAGTATTGTTTCGTAACTCAGACTGTTGGAGGGCGTTAAAAAGGCCCTCATTCTTTTCTTCAAGGACTTCATATTCCCGATTTGCGGTATCAAGCTCAGAGTCCAGCTTGTCGATTTCGAGGTAATGGGCGTCCTGAGCAGCTTTCAACTGGTCGATCTCCGCGGCATGTTGTTTCAGCTGAGTGTCCTTGCTTGAAATATCCTCACTTGATTTTGTAGAGGCTGGCTTGTTCTCTGACAAAGGAGGGTCATCCCCATTTTTATCAACTGCAGTGTTTTTCTGAGAACCCTTACGTTGAAGTTGCTCCAACTCTTGACGGAGAGATCTTATTGTGGAAGGATCGGCTTCATGCTGCTCAAGTTGTTCATCTTTTTGCTGTAGCTGAATGCGCAGATTTTCTATTTCTTCGTCCTGCCCAGCTAGAATAGACAATTGCGCATCCTTCTCCTTCAGCGCGGCGTTCTTCTTTTGAAGTTCAGACTGTAGATGTTTTATCTGCTGAGAGGCAGACGCCGATTCCAAGACCATCTTTCTATTTGCCTCGATTCTTTCGTCCTTCTCGTGTAATTCTTCTTGGAGCCGCTTCATTTCTTCACGCAATTCACGCTCCACAGGGGCCTCCGCAAGATCCGGATTTGGCGGGGGCCATTTGCTCGGTGGTGATTGTATTGGAGAGGGTTCATCAATTTTGTCCAACGGCGCGTTACTTCTTGTAATTATATTTCGTCGCGGACGAACGTGTGCAGGGGTTGACATATCGAGTGGCGTATCCATCTCACTGTAGTCGTTTATCGTATGATCCGCAACGACTGTATTCTGACGCATTTCCTCCTGCGTTTGAGCTGGTTCTGACTTTGACGCGTTATCCTCATCGCTGTTTGTAAGGGCGCCTGTCCCTCTTACGAGTTCCACCATATTCAACGTAAAATCACGCGGACCTCCAAAGTCTGAAAATGAAACGTGTTTCTCCTTTGGCGAGTTCCCTTCGTGCGCTTCGTCGCGTTCACCTTCGTCATGATCAGAATGATGATCTGATAGCCTGCTCATATCAAATGTGTAGTCTGCAAGATTTGCTTCTGAATCGCTTCCATCACTGGGTTCAGGCGAACTGGTTGTCGTCTTCAGAGACCGCATCCTTCTTCGACGGGCAGTATTTGCGGCCAAGGAGTGAGTCGAACTGGGCTTCTTAGAATGTAAAATTGACTCCTGAAATGAGTTCATCAATCTAGGAGGCGATGAGGGCATAAAACTGGGTGTATTGAGGGAAGAACCCCCCAGGGTGTCGTGAGACGTGGGGAAGGGCGAGGTGAAGCCGTTACCAGCCATTTTGTCGCAAATGCTTCAGTTTCGGGATGTCTAGTCGCAGGTATTGGGAGGCAATTGGCAATGGTGTCCTATATCATAGTTAATCCCCCAAATCTCAGCATTAAACTGAAATGCAGACAAACGGAATGTTGCTATCAAGATCATGAAAGATGAACGGCGTTCGCATTGTTTACTTGTTCTGCTTCCGGCTTAGCTTGAATCGGAGCATCTCGACGGACATCGGTCCGATGATAGTCCGAAGGAGCACTCTGTGACGTCATTAATCGTCGCCGCCCTTTAGTCTGGAAGATTGGCGGCTGAGCGATGTTTGCGTGGACAATAGATTTTGCCCTCAAAAGAATCAGCGAACCTGGGGTTATGACATCGCGAACCGGCTGGAGATGAACTGCGGGGAAACGTCAGCTCTATTCGAGCCCATATCTAGGTTCTCCCTAATGTTGACGTTGGGGAAAACTTGGCTTTAAAGTCACTGAGGCATACCAATTATCAGTGTTTTGAGCGAATAAACGGATAGGAATGGACTCTCTAGGGATTTCAAATTGATGATATGCTCTAGGTACCTCCGTGTAGCTTGCGCCGATATAATTATTAGCGTACACCAAAGGTTGAGATCGCCTGTGATGCCAACTGACCCATTGCCACGGATACTTGGTTTCTAGTCTCACGTATGTCATAGGTCATCTGAATAGGATAGCAGAGCCAGAGTAGAATCTTATATATTTACTACCGTCCGACCTGTTGGGTTCCGGCTGCCAGCAGAAAAATTTCAATATATGCATTTTATCGCATAGGTCACTCATTGACTAACCGACACAATGTCCACTATCCACAACTCGTACAGAAACGACTCCCATAACCACCATAACCACCATCACCACCAAAAGGTGTATCCGAACTTTAGCTTAAAGAATAAAGTATACGTCGTCACAGGTGGTGGTCGAGGGCTAGGGCTATGCATGGCAGAAGCAATGACAGAGGCTGGTGCCGAAGGTTTGTCCACCACAACAAGAACTCCAAAAACGCAATCCTGGTTGATAATATGCTAACTTGTTTCATACCTCCAGTGCACTGCCTTGATATACTTGAGGAACCTGCGCATGAATTTATCGAAACTCAAGAGCTAGCCGCCAGATCCCATGTTGGCTCGTTGCATTACCATCATCTTGATGTACGTGACACGATACTCCTCAATGACAAGATCGTAGATATCGCAGGAAGACATGACGGAATCGACGGTCTAGTGGCTGCCGCAGGCGTCCAGCAGATCATGCCTGCCATCGATTGTACCGCAGAGGATATCACACGGATAATGGATGTAAACTATACCGGGGCTTTCATGACCGCCCAAGCCGTGGCCAGACAAATGATCACATATAAAAACCACGGCTCCATCGTCCTAATTGCAAGCATGAGCGGCCTCATCGCAAACAGAGGTTTGATTTCGCCCGCATACAATGCCTCGAAAGCCGCATTGATTCAGCTGGCAAGAAGCCTTGCAATGGAGTGGGGTCATGAGGGAATTCGTGTCAATTCGCTCTCTCCGGGCCACATTGTCACACCAATGGTGGAGAAGAATTTTGAGGAAGTGCCTGGCCTCCAGGAGATCTGGGAGCGGGAGAATATGCTGGGCCGTCTGGCACGGCCGGAGGAGTTCACGGGCGCAGCTATTTTCATGTTGAGCGAAGCCAGCTCCTTCATGACTGGGAGTAATATAATCATCGACGGAGGCCACACTGCTTGGTAAAGGGAAGCTTGGGTTCGGATTTTTGTGGCGGAATAATGTAATGTAGTGTAACGACTTTTCATGTACAAGCTAAATACTTCTTGCATGAGCGTATGAATTAATCGATATCAAGAGTATCTCCATGTGGTTCTTTCCCCCAGTTTTTATTTTTATTTTTATTATTTTTATTTTTATTTTTATTTTTCTCGCGTGGGTTTGTTCGTAGCCCTCCCGCCAACCGCTTCCGCCCCCGTCACCCAGCTGATGTGGTTGTTCCTTGTCCGGCATAACGTTATTTACTATTGTGGCGGACATATTACTTGCGAAAACAGAATTTTCCCAGCCCCCCCTGAAAATTAGTAGCAAAACACCACCAAAAAATCAAAATATCCACATTTCTCTAGAATCATTCAATATCATCCAATACATGTCTTTTTCAATCAAATATCATCCAAATACGCGTCTTTCTTACCT